AGGTGACAAATGGTATTTTTAAAGGCCACCTGCTTCATTGAAATGCAACATTTCTTTTTATGAGGGTGTCAATTTTAAAGCCGTCACACTAGTCTGCTACAAGCCAGACAGTTTTTAAAGTTTCCATATGCAAAGAAGCAATCAATAGTTATATTCCTATTTCAAAACAATATTGATGCTTTTTATAGACAGGAGTCACCAAGTACTTTACAGAAAACAGTTGGTGGCACATTAGTACATCGTGGATTTGAAAGATGAATCTCATGAGGATTTTAGCAGTGCAACAAATCAACGACTCTCTTCAAAGTGAGAGCTAGTTTACAGTAGTTTGAATACGTTTCATTATTGCTATTCTTTCATACTTGTTCTGTTGACTAAAAAAAAGAAGTGGGAAAACTGTAATTTAGAGTTATTTTTTTCTGAATTTGGCTGCATGAAAATACCGAGCTTAGGAGAAAGGCAGAGATGGAACAGTAGCCTATGTCTTGTGGTGGCTGTGGACAGTCATCCAGTCTGTGTGGGCAAGATACTGAATTGAGTGTTAGTTCGAATGTTATAAAAAGGTGCTTAGATAAAGTACATGTGTGTGATTAGGGGCTTGTAGAAAAAAAGGGGCTGTGAGTGCTCAGTTAGCATACATATATATAAGTGCCAGTCTATTTGCATTAGGTGAACATAGTGCTAACACTAAACATCCACACAAATCCAGGATCCCTGAGAAACTGTAAACGTTTTAAACCATGTTAGGCACATGTTCTTATAACTGATTTGCAAACAGGATATGGTCATCAAAACTAAAAATTGTACTGACCAGCAATAAAGCAGCTCTGGCTAAAGGTTGCTGGCTCCTCCGGGAGGCAAGTGCTTATTCTTGGTTTGAGGGCTTTTTATATGATGATGTAGATAAGTAACATAAGAGAGGAGTCTGGCATTTATAACTTTGAAAACCTTTTATATGGACAAAAACTTTAGATAACAGACTAAAGGATAGGAAGAAATGCTAGAAGCTCAATCGGAGATATATATAATGAACTGATGCCTGTTTGATCTGCTTTGAATTTCAGATCTTCTCTTTGTTGTCATGCAAAGCTCACATCTTTTTTTCATGAGTGAATTTTATAGTTTGGCTTATGAAAACCTTTTCAGCTAAATGCCATGGAATATTTCTCTGTCACATGTGATATAATAGACACCATTAAATAGAAGGTGAAATGAAGATGACACTGCAGGGGGATTGAGTCCTTAGTGGCATGTTTCCTGGATACAGACGCTGTAAGTGAAAAAGCGGGTTAGCAAGCCCTGCTTGTCATTTTAAGTGTGATGGTTGTTTGATCATTTCGTATTCAAATACAAATGTGTGTATGCCTTGTTGTCTTCTTGCAGCTTTAGACCCTCATTTAATTTGATCGCTTTTTAAATAACAGACTCAAACTGGAACGTGAGCAAACTCAAGCTGAACTCAAACATGATTCTCATAAAATATGGTGGACAGTCATAGACAACACAGCTTGTTGCAAAGCACCAGGCTGTTTTCTCAAAGGGTCTTTGTTCAGCTACGAGAGGGAGTGAGAGAGACAAAGGAAAGGACAGGAGGTGGGAAGTGGGAGAGAGAGAGAGAGAGGTAACTGAGGGCAAAACAGGAGACCGAGGAGGAGATTAAAGAAGAGAAAGGGTGGAGTAGGAAAATGATAGTTATCTTTCACTTAGGGACAGAGTAAGAAAGGATAGTCAAACAAAAATACCTCATCAAGGGAGATATATGGAGAAATACTGGTGTAGAGAAAGAAATAGTTTAGCGAGGGTGTGGAATAGAGGCTTCATAAGTAAAGTAATAAAGACGAGCAGACAGCCAAAAGCAAGCATAGAAAAGAAAAGTGTGGGATTGTGAATTTGTGTATGAAAGAGGGAAGCAAATGTATGAAGTGTGAGTGAGAAAGATACAGAGGGAGGGCGGAGAAAGTGTTTGACAAAAGGCTTTTGTTGTGAAAGTGGCCATTTTGAATCTTCCCCTGGTTACGGATGGCTCCACTTCACTGTGTCCCAGCCTACTTGTTTGGCCTAGTTTCTGATTAAGTCGCCACTTGTACGGTGACAGTGTTTACTCTGTTGGCACACTCACTATTTATGGCAAACATTATCACACATCCACTAGAGATGGTGCAGCTTGATGCCATGCAGATCAGCGAATTTCTCTCCCGAGGGCAGCACATCCTACAACACATTTGTTCTTTAAAGACCATGACAATGCTGTTAGAAGGCTCTTTTTTTATCTTGAAAGATGTTCATTATGAATTTTCTTCAGATGCCAGCAAGTGAATATTTACATTCATTTTGATTTAGAAACAAACCAAATATATGTCGAGGGAATGCTGCGAACAGGGTAGCAAGTTTGCAAAGGATTGCAAAGTTGCATCTGAACAAATGGCAAGACTTTGACAAGAATGTAATACACAGTGCCACGCTGGGCAAAAACCAAGCACAGTATGTCAGCACAAATACCTCATACCACATAATGATTTGGGTTCCTCTTCTTGCATTCACTGAGTTGACCATGAACTCCTGTGTATACAAAAGTATTTTAGGCTACGTCCACACGTACCCGGGTATTTTTGAAAACGCAGATTTTTCTATGCGTTCGCACCTTTTGTCCACACGTAAACGGCGTTTTTGGTCACTGAAAACTGAGATTTTTAAAAACTCCGGCAAGGGTGGATATTTTTTTGAAAACTCAGTTTTTGCATTTACGTGTGGACGAGAAAAACGCAGAAAATGCAGCGTCAAAGCTGTGCGCATTTTTTGACGTCACACTGTGCGCCACGTTATTGTTTCGGTGAAATGAATTTCTACAATACTGTTACTGTTAATTGTTCTCTCTGCAGTGTTTAAATGCTTACATATAAACACACAGTTACTGTCCCTCCACACATACGACTTGGTTCTGCTTCTATGCCCCAGCTTTGTTTACTTTTTCCCACCGAGGCTTCTAGACTTCTGATTGGCCAACATTTCTGCACGGCTAGGAATATATCGCCACCTGCTGCTTTGGCATGTTCCTAGCAGCGTTTTTCTTCATTTCTGCCTTTACATGTGGACGGGATTATTTTTTAAAACGAAAACTGAAAATCTCAGTTTTCAAAAATACCCGTGTACGTGTGGACGTAGCCTTAGAGTCAGTCTCAACCACAGCTAAAGGTGTTCTTGGCCCAAGAACACCAGCACATTTACAGCTAACTGTCTAAAAAAGAAAATAACCAAGGTGTGTGACTGGCCCACTCAAAGTATCTGTGGCATTTGTGAAACTGTCCCTCCTGCTTATAAATATTCAAACTTTACTAGGTTGTTATTGAATCATTAACTCTTCAGTCCTCTGACTTAAACTCCACAGAAAATCATAAACATGCTGACTCTTAGCTGGCTACATGCTGTGATATCTGACAAGTACTGACTTAGACTGCCTAAACTTAAGCATGTGTCTGCATACAGAATAAAGTGTAACAATATTTGAAGACATTTTTTCCCCTGCATTTTCATGCCAGAAATTAAGAAAAATACACACGTTTAACAAAGTGGAAGGAAATGTGCTCCAATGCGCTGCATTTCTTGAAAGTAGAAAACATTTTATGCATACACTAAGTGTGCAAACACACTGCAATGCTTAATGTTGCAAAATGTCCACAGCATAATCCAGGATAGAAATTAGATTATATGCACAAAGGGAAACTGCGACTACAGCAGTGGCTGTACTTTACTGCTCTGTAAAGAAGAACGGCGCCCAGCAATGTCTTCGTGCATTAGCAGTAAGACAATAGAAACACCATCTCTGGGTGCACCGTGGTCACATACGTACAACCTGTTGTCATACTTACACATAAAGACCCCTGCCTTTCTTATAGAGTCAGTCACAGCACCCCGATTCTACACCATTGATCTAAACCTTCCCAGAAGCTTCTGAGTCAGTTCTTTTGTTACTCCTCTCTGCCAGTCATCTTACATCATTCATAAAGCTGCTTATTCCACTGAAGCATTTCCATGAAGGGGATTCACTGTGTCATACAACTCTACTTTAGGAGTTTTTGATCCTTAGAGTCAATTGCAGAGAAGCTTTTTTTTTTTCCCCCTTTTTGACCGCCTTTCCTTAAGCTGCTCACGCGCGAACCTCAATAACACACATCAGTAGCAGTAAGAACATACGTGCACACACTGCAATGCTGCAGTAGCTGTGAGGTGCTGAAGGAGAAAATTCAGCTGGGATGAGAGTGAGTCATGGAAACCGCTTAATATTATGGGCTGTCTTTCCCTTGATGTTGTTCAAGCTAATTAAGCCTTGTAGTAAGCTACTCAGGTCTGTTTGAAGTATGCAAGAGATTCACTGTAATGGTCTGCTCTATGCAATTCTGTGTTTTCACATTCAATTTGAATATGCTTACAACCCAGGGACCTTAGATCATAAAGATAAGACACCTGGATTTATAGCTATGAGTCTATTTCTAAATTACTTGGGGAAATAATAGTTGTTTAGATCTTGAGACTGCAGAACATGTCAGTATATGACACACGCATACAGTGTTGTAAAGATGCATTTACACAAGACCTCTATGCCTGTTATGTTACCTTATTCTAGCCTATTAAAACATTGTTGATGAACAGGAAATTGTTTTCATGTCAACGCTTAAATTAAATGAATGAAATTGTATGTAACAGTTAATTAAAATGGGTTTAAGGTAAATTTATTTTCTTGAGTACAAGAATAGTCCAATGTAATGCTGGCTTTCAAAGAATGAAGGCACTCTACAGGTGCACTCAGTGGCAGTCGCAAAAACAAAGTAAGGTGAATGTGGTGGTGCACACTGACCCCTACTGCTGATGCCTTGTCATCACCCTGCTCTGCATGACTCGCCCCTGCCTTACTCTTGACTGACACAGGGGCAGCAGGGTCACTCAGACATGTCCGACAGCAGGCAGATTACATGTTTGTGTTCTTGTTTCAACTGTTTTATTAGGATTGGAGTGCTGTGTGCGTATGCCGCCAACCAGAACCTGAGCTCTCAGGTGAAGAACGTACGGAGACTGGTCAACAGCAACATGAGGGATCTGCACACCTTCGCTAACGACACACCGATGGTGAGGCAGAAAGTTTCCATTTGAAACACGATGTTACATAAAGAATTGGGGTGAAGCATTATAGATGGTTAAGTTATGAATTTTCCTGACATTTCAGGGTGGCAGACTCGAGGGTACACTTGTGAATCAGTGTGCATATCATTTCTTTTTTCTTTGTTGAAACTGGGGTTTCTTGTCATGCTGACTTTGTGTAATCCTTTCACACGGGAAAAGAGAATTTTCTCACCTTTTATGCACGCAACACCTGCAAAGTTGCTTTTGAAAAGATTGTTCTCATACGGTGAAATTTCTCCAACAATCAGTCTCATTCTTGTGGGTGGTATTTGCTGAAGAAAACTCCAACCAGATTCTCAAGTGAATCAATAAAATTGTGTAACACTGAAGTTGTTTGTTGGTGTCTAGACCAATAAAGTACTTTTGTGCAGCTATTTCTAAGTCTCTTCTCGTCTCTGTGTTTCCTCTATGCAGCAAATTGAATACCTAATATCCCAGTATGCCACGGCCAAGAACAAAGTCATCTATGACCTAGATAGTAAGTAGTTCTTCTCTGTTTCTCCAATAGTAAATTAGGTAGACACAAACAAGTCCCTAAGTTTATACACTCAGTTGTGCAGCATGCTTATTATGTGAATTTAATGTGTCTGCTTTACTTGTTTTCACAACTGTGACTTAACTAGCTCCATAGGCAAAGTAGAAACTTTTAAAAAACATCTCTTGAGTATTCCTGCTACTTTCTTCAGGCAGTTCTTTCCTAGAAGTTGTGACTTGCAAAAACAGAGCCAGGATTTTAAGCTTTTAAATTAAAAACAAAAAAAGGAAGAAGTTATGCCTTGTATACTCAGACCATTAGAACACAAGCTTAGATGGTTTACTAGAGAACAAAATTGGGAACAAGAGTGACTTGGACTAACGTGTCTATGCTGATGTTTTCTACAGACATAGGTCCATTATTGGGTGGAAAGATACATGATCAGTTGGATAAGGAGGTCCGTCCTGCCTTGGACCAAGTCCTCAATATGGCTGGAGGTACAGTTGCTCACTTTAAATTTCCTCCTCTAGCTAAGATCAAAATATTGCCCGTTCTAAGCTACTAAATGCCAGCTACAGCTTCACTACAAACATTGCAGTGCTGCCAGTTGTGTGATGAATACAATGTTTTTCCCTTAAATGTGTGATTTAAAGCAAGTGTGAATAACCTTTTTTTGGTGGAAATACAGGTTTAGGACTCGTTTCAGTATTTTCCTATAAGTAATAAGTCCTCCACCATATAATATTAGTTTCATTAATCCTTAATCTTTGTATTTTATGCTTTTTCTTTTATAAAGTGAAAATCGAGAGGGCCATTAAAGGTAATGATAACTTAGTAACTGACCCACAGTCCTTTGACCCTTGACTTTGTGAATTTTGACACCATTGTTGCTACTGTGATTCGTCCCCTTTGTTTTCTTCCTTGATGCCTACCTGAGCCCCGAGTTACAGTTCTTGAGTTTTTGATGAAAAATAAACAGTCAGTATATAAAAACTGCACTATGCTATATCTTACTTTGGTGACCACAGAGTGAAGAAAGTAAAAAGGTTTTTTTCTTGTGGGGGGTGGAAGTATATATATATATATATATATACTTCCACCCCCCACAAGAAAAAAACCTTTTTACT